CTAGTCACTGGTAGCCAAATATTCTGTCAAAGAATGGCTAATAATAATAGTAATTGAAAAACTGTAACACTGCTATAGCACTAACGTGTTCTATCTATTCGTTTTATTTTAGCCCATGAGATGGTGATTGCATTGGTGCTAATTTGCGCAAGTGTATTTCTAGTCGTTCTTTCCTTAGTGCTGTTTGTGATCATTTGTAAACTATGGAGAAAACGGAGGCAACGGTAAGTAGATGTATGCTAGCCTGGTTTACATAAAGTCGTTACACACACTATGGCCGACAGCTGTCATGACGCTAAGTGGTCGGTCGAATCAGGAAGCTATACTGATTCCGTTGGTGACAGCTAAAATGTAGTTTGTGGAAGCAGTTTGGCTCAGTGGAAATGGCTTGGTTTCCCAACCTCAAGGTCGGGGTTTTCAGTCCTTTGATGTGTATTTCGCTTGTGTCTTGAGCAAGGTACTTTATCTACATTGCTTCAGTTTACCCATCTGTAATGGGTACCCGCAAACTGCTTGGAGTAACCTGCGGTGGAGCGTCCGACCCGGGGGTGGGGATATTACACTCTCATCTGCTTAACGCTAACAGAAACTGGGGATAAACTCCAGCCCCTATGGGCTCTAGTTGGCTCGGACGTCAAGGGTAAGAATGTAGTTTAGCGATTTTATATAAACCCTCTCCTTAACAATACTGTATCTTGTGCAACAAATCATGTGTAGTCCTGTCATCTATTACGTTCCCTTTATAGTGTCGTTGGCCCAATTTCAACAAATAATAATTATCTATTCTAACTTTCAGGAGACTGAGGCAAAATCGTAATATTCAACAGCCGTTTGGTTTTGAGGACAACAAACATATTCGTCTTAACGGCGGCATCTCAATGACTAACTTTTCACACGAGAGATATTTAGTAGAAATTGCCGAGCCAATCGAAACGCCGTTTTTTAGCAGACACCCAACGGATCCGAATCTCACTTCCCGAGGGTCAATTGGATCCGTAGACCAACATTCGATTTTCGACAGAGCATTTTCCAGTGCCCCACAAAGTGATTTAGATGAACATGATTATGATTATGACGTCACCAGCATCAGTAGGAATCGGAGTGTAACATTCAGTGAAACGCCTCAAATATTAGGCGATGATCAATCGGTTGAAGTGTTTGGCATTGAAAACTTTAGCTTTGGGGTGCCTAAGTACGTTGATCGGGAGGACGACGGTGGTAGCTATAGGGTACGCTGGGACTTCAAAGTCGATGATCCAGATACAGATATGGACATAGCGTTGTAAAACTAGCAATTAAAAGAAAATGCATATTACTGTATTTTGGATCAAATATAATGTGCTAAACGGTATTCTTGAATTCGTACACCACCGATGAAAAAAAAAAAAAAAAAACCGATGAAGCCTCATCCTTGACGTTCATAGCTCTTCTTTTCTCTTTAATGGGATTTTTGTAAGTAGTTTTGCGTCAAGTGAAAGCCAACCAATTTATTCACAATATTAAATTTTATATGCAGTGAAACCAAATTTAAAACAATACTTTGTACTTTGTAAAGGCGATTTAGCAGATATTCCTAGCCTCGAAGTTTAAAGCGAGTAGAGTTTGTATTGTATTTATGTAGATATTATTATTTCATTCATCCCCACGTCACATAGATTCCTTCATCCAATAATTAATGCAATAATTAATTAGTTAATAAATTTTTTTATTCATATATTCATTCATTCATTCATTCATTTATTCATTCATTCATTCATTAATGCATTCACTCATTCATTCATGCGTTCGTTTATTAGTTCATGCACACATTCATTTAAGAACATATTATTTAATTTATTCAATCATGTTTGTTAAATATGCATAAATCAAACTGTTTAAACAAATCATTAATTAGGAAAACTTACTTTAATGAAGACAAAATGAATTTTAAGCAATATTTGATAATGATAATTATATGTTTGACGTTAGATTGTTATAATTTTTAAATTTGTAAATGTGTGTTGATTTGCTGAAATAATGTGACTATCAAACCATCGTGTATGTTGAATTCATTTTAAATACACAAGAACGTAAAAGTGATAGTAAAAAATGTTACCGTACCATTCAGAGCAGCAGCGTAACTAAGGATTTAGGCGCCAGCTCGGAGGTTGTTTGTTCTGAGCTTGTGGACAATTAATTGTTGTGTTCTTTGTGTTATATAATAATACTTATTTATACTTATTGACTGGCTTGAGTACAACTCTGCCAAAAGCTCCCACTTAGAATTTTGATCCAGTCTTATTGTGGCTTGTTATGCATCCATGTAGTTACGCCTCAGCTCTGTTTCAAAGTTTTGATTTAAGCTAATCAACTTTCACTGTTAACATAGCAGCTTCATTCAATGATGTAACAACTGATACTTTCACATGCAAGCAGATCACTCAAGTAACCTCACTGAAAGAGAGGTGAAGGGTATTGCAATACCCTTTGTGTGTGTGTGTGTGTGTGTGTGTGTGTATGTGTGCGTGTTTGTCTGTGTATGTGTCCTTCCGGGCGCATAACTCCAAAACAACTGGACCGATTAAATTCTTTTTTTTTTTCATACATTGACAAAGTTACATGTATCTCGGCTCTCCTCAAATTTGGTGCTGATCGGAAGTAAGATGATGTAGATTTTAGAATTGTATTTATATATTTTCAGACCACAACAGAAAGAGCCAACTCGAGCGCATCGTTTGGTTTGGCCAAACTGACTCGAATCGACTGCGCACCCGAGTAAGGGGTGTATCAAATTCCGGCCGGCCTGCAAACCCGGAAGACCTATGATTCTAGGCATACGGCCCATTATTTTTTCAGCAAAAGGGCGAGTGTTTGTAATCTCAGATTATCTTCTTATTATTTGAATTACCGAGAACGTCTCAAACTGATATTAACAAATCCAAAAATTCATTTTTGCTACTTTTTGTTAAATTCAGTTCAATATCAATTGCGCTTGCATACCGACATTATAGTTACCTACCAGAGAACGAGAGATATACAGGTGGACATCAAATGGAACAAAACTTCAAAGAGTACAGCAGCACTTATAAGTATAGGTTTCAACAATAAATAGCGTCTTCTTCAAAAACTATTGATAAGGTTATTAGGACAATAATTTTGAAAAGAACCAATGGAATTTATTAACAAAATGCCAAATGAGTGCTCTCCGTATCACAGCAGAACGGTATGGCACAACTTTAAAAACTTTTGGAACTCTAGGTGGCGCTGTTATTATACGTTCATTACCAGTCCAATGCTATCTAATAATTGTATAGAATGACACGCAGTTGTAATTGATTCATATTATCATTATAACGTTCTATTGGCAAGTTGAAACGAAACATACCCAATCGATTACATTTTGACTGGAAAGATCAAAGTCAAATTAGTGTCAGAAGTGTACGAATGATTCTGTAACAGACAAATTCATTCCAGGATTGGTAAATTACTAGGTCAGGTCTAGTAGGTATGACGTTTAACGGCAACTTCTGCCAAAATCTCAGTAGGACCTAGGCCTAATTTAAAAAAAAATCAATCACTGGTCACATTTTGAGAAACATGATCGAACTACAAAAAAAGAATTAACGGACATGTTGAGATAAATATCTGTGTCATGTCGGCGTAGCTTACGAGTCTATTCACCGACCAATTAATTTGAGAGTTTTGTAGAACGACAACAAATGCACTAACCTCTGTATTTATGATCACTAGTTTATAGGCCTTAGTATCGTTTGTGTTTAACACTTCAGCAACTTAAAATATTTGACATCCGTCTACTTTTACTATCCTGACAAGAAGATACAGGAAATTTAATTCGACAAGTACAACATGGTTCACCTAAAATTTAGACATGAAATACAGAACACAAAAACATAACAACTATTTAAGAGTAATTATAGAAAATAAATAATAATTAATAAAATTGACATTAATAAGACATGGACATGAAATATCAACAGCGCTCTCTAGTACACATTTACGTTTCAACTTTTAATGAATTAAAGATAAGGAATTTTTTTTAAATATTTTAATAAAAAAAAAAAATAATACTATCAGTGCCGGTGCTACTTTCCTTAAATTTAGTTTGTTCCACTATGACTAACAGAAACGCATGTTTATTACAGCTTTCTAAAGAATGACGCATCCCCACAGTGACGTCATTATCAAATAAAATTACACAAGCGATTCACCCGCGGCATACATTTAAGTTGTTTTTCAAGAAATGATTTAAATCAGGAATACAAATATCAGGAAACACTAATTTTGATATGATTCATATAAAAGTCGTTCGGTTGGAAAGTCAATGAACAACATAAGAATTGCCAAACAGTCAGTCTATATTTCACTATTCGTTCAATTGTATTACAGTAAGTCTACAAATACTAACTCTAATAACATACATCATCCCTGTTGATTGATTGTTTGAATTTTGTTCAGAGGTATTACTACGCAAAGAGGTATTACTACGTAATGACCATGCATCCGAAACTGTAACGGTTATCGAGTGCATATCATTATGCAAATTAGGTTACGCGCAGCGTACATACAGCCAATCACAGAATCAAAAGCTCAAAATGTCTATAATTTTAACAAGTACAAAAATGTATGTGGGCTTGAAATTAATCATGACGTATATTGGTGAGAAAACTACCGTAAAAGTTATTAAACGTTATATATCGAAAATATTATCATGCATAAATTTGGTGACCATGTTTTGGGTGTTGCGTCCCTAAGTGTTGAGGTTAAACACATGACTGTCAATACGCAGGCGACTCATCGTTTACACTGTCATGGGATGCGTTTGATGTTCGTCAGAATTGCGCTTGGGGAATGACAAGGAGAAAGAAAAAAAGTGACATTCTTCAAACCCTTCTTCCTGAATCAGTAAGCGTACAGTACTCAGAATCCTTAAGTCGAGTCTGGCTCAATGGCCTTTGGAATCCATTCAATGCTGATGATATTAGTAAAAACTTTTTTCAATTATTTAATTAAAAATAAAAACAATTTTTACTAATAATTATTATTAACCATCATGAATTATAATTATTATTACAAACCACTTTTTATTTTATGCTTCTGTGATGTATGTATATATGGCCTACATCTGTATGTGTGAGTTTATGTATATTTCTGTCTATGTATATGTGCATGTATACTAACGTGTTTATTTGAATATTTATGTATATATATAAATATATATATATGGGCCTATATATATATATATATATATATATATATATCTACATGTATAATTTGTACATAATTTTATTTATTGTTTCCTATATTTAATCCTAATGTATACAATATTAATTTAGTTAACTCTAGTTACGTTTAGTTTAGTGTCTCGTGTAATGTAGGGCTACACGCTTTTGGGTTTCTCTAGACTCTTATCATTTCGACATTAATAATAATATATTTTTTGTAAAATGTATTGATAAGTCAAATTTTGATATTTGTGATTTCATTCATGTAAACATCATATAAAATTACCAGTTGAGAGAATGAATGAGAAAGAAAAAAAAAATACATGTGTTGAATGAATGAACATGATTCATGAAAGTCCATTACTGATATATAAATATTTCCATAAGTGTGACAGGAAATGATATTGTGTTCGCGACAGTTCATCATAAGGAGTGGCGATACCTGTTTGGTGGTTAAATTCCCCAGGGCAGGTATGATCAATTCCTATCGTTTAGTCATTAGTCGGTTTCCGTCTTCTAAAATAAAAATTTCCTTATTCCCTCTATATTTAATAATACATTCCAAAGGGTAAATAAGACCCATATTTGAAGACAAAATGTAATAATTAGAACCATTTACTCATTTCTATATCATCATATCACTGTATATCCTGGCTTATGTGTGACGTCAGAAATGACGGGCGGACAGAAACGCCACTTGGATAGAAAATTATATACGCCTATCTTTCAAGATTCATTGACCCAGATCGACTTCTCAGCTTGTGCGTTACCTACATCTCGATTCATGTATTGTCAATCGTCAGTCCACATTCGCCAGAGATGTGGAATCACGTGTGTATACGTTTAGGGAATTGCCCGGAAAGCAATGATATGCAAGAGATTTAAGCTAGGCTAGTTCAACGAAATATGGGTTAAGATATTGTATTATGGAAATTATATTGTGCTATATAATGATTACGTCTACAACACCTTAGACAACTCAAGTAGGAGGCCTTTGGTATACAAGCACGACAGTCGTGGGAGATACAGGCATTATAAAAGAATCGATATAAAAGACTGTTTGAATGATTTCATCAATCAAATTCAAAATCACATTTATTCAATCATTGAAAAAACTTCAATATTTAATAATAATAATAATAAGTACTTATTTTAAATTACTTTGGGATCGAACGTATTAGAAAGGTTTTTCTTAATCGATCCCAAATAACAAATCATTCAAAAAATAATGATGATGCTGAAACATCAGCAAAACATCAGTAATGAATCATGACACAGTTTATAACTAATTTAATTTTGATATAGTTCTAAGTAGTTTTTAAAGATTTTTCTTTCAAAGCCATATTAATTAAGAACAAATATTTTACCAATGTATTTTAAAAAGTTTAATAAATTATATATTATTCCTTTTTTCTGAATATCGCCGTAAATAATAACACGTCCTGACGTCATGTGAATTCAGCCGATCATTGGATTAACCTTCTGACCCGGTGTCACCTTCATTTTGATCTGGTATTATTATTGTTATTTTTCAAGGAGAAACCTTAACATACAAACGTAAATCATTAGCAAAAAAGAAAATGTCAGCCTGTATCCATAGGAGGTGCAATGGATTCGTATGCACTTTTGTAATAAATGTTAAAAAACTAATCTTAAATATTTACATTTTATCAAGATATCTATTGTTACATCAATAATAGGCCTAATATTGATATTTTACCCCACCGGTATTCTAGCTGACAAATGCTCACAGTCCATTTGGTTCAATTTGGCACGCCCTCGTATTCTTCAATGGTAAGGTAATCTTGGACACAGGCCCTAAAACGGGTTGAGCCATGATTTGCTCGATGACCGGGGGAAGGTGGGGAGGGGGGTCTCCCCGATGAGAACGTAAGAGGGCGTGGTGGGGTGAATATATATAAAAAATATTCCACAAACCAAATCAAATTACGTCATTATCATAGGAAAACGATAAAATCATAGTAGTGAAAATTATTTTATCGTTTTCCTATGATTATGACGTCATTTGATTTGATTTGTGAAAATATTTTTATTTTATCGTACACATGATAAATCGTTATCGAATCGGTCTAGTGTGAAAGGTTCTATTATTTCTTTTATTTTCTATATGAACAATTGCTTTTTAGCTTTTTAACGTTATCGTTATCGTCATAGTGTAAACAGGCCTTAAGTCTAGAGCATTACGTCTAACGTGTTAATAATCAAACCAAGGCCTCTCTCTGCTTATAACTCTAGCAAAAGACAGAGTCGACACCCTCCGAGTTATTACTATGCTGTTGTCGACATGGCAGCAGAGAGTGTTTGGTAAAACTTTGTGATGGTTGTTAAGATAGGCTATATCCGATGAAACAAATCGTTCGTTCCATGACTGATAAAAGTCAACGCGTTCTACAAAGTATGATCAAATATCCCAGTAAACACGAAACGCATTATAACTTTCGTGAAAGTTGTGTTTAGGTTATGTCACAAAATAACGTTAAACACAAAGTTTGCAACAACGATTGCAAAGAACGTCATTAAATAGTCAGAAATTACGTATTTATGTTTCTACAAAAAGAAAAAAAAAGCAAAAAAAAAAAAAGCACCATACCATTACACCGTAAAATTGTTAGCTAGGATTAGGGCTAATGTAACAGTACACACCAGTCTAATGCCGTGATTCTATGGAGAACGCAACGTTACGACGCGTGCGCAACGGATCGTTTTATTTTAATAACGATCGGTTAATTCAGACTGCTACCGACACCACCTCACAGG